ATGCTCCGTTCATACATCTGGAAACTTTCCCAAAGATATCTGGTAAGGACAACAAGGAGTTCCAGAGACTAAGTGACCTTCTTGAGCTTCAGCTAGCCAAGGCAGACCAAAAACTACCTGGACTCAGTTACCTGGACACTGCTAGAGGGGTAAACCCAATCGTCTCCAAGCTCCCATATGGTTTGCAAGAAAAATGGTCCACACTAGGGTCATCATACAAAAAACAGAACAATGTTTCCTTCCCTCCTTTCTCTTTCTTCTGCAAATTCATGAGGAACATTGCAGAGACCAAGAATGTCCCAAGTTTGTCCTACAGTGAGTACAGTCTCTCTTCATCCTTTCCTAAGAGTATCAGTCTTCAGGCCAACTATAGGAACCGTAGAGGCCCAGTATTCGTGAAAAAGATTGACATCCTTTCCACTCCTACCACAGTTGTGGCTGCAAATAAACAGAGTAGGAAGATTGAAAACACTAACCGAGAGTGTCCCGTTCACAAGAAGCCACACCCCCTCAAAAAATGCATAGGCTTTCGGAAAAAGCCTCTAGAAGAGTGTAAGGAGCTTTTAAAGTAATTCGGGGTATGTGTCAAGTGTTGTGCTTCTACTGAACATTTTGCTAAGGACTGTAATATGTCCATCAAGTGCATAGAGTGTGGCTCAGAAGAACATGTGCACATCCTCCATCCACTTGAGCCCAGTTCTGCACAACCTGTTAACTCTCCTCCTAGGTCAAGGCAAGGCAGACCAAGTGCCTGATTCCACCATAATTTTTTCATCCTGTACTGAAGTTTGTGGGGAAGATCACTGTGATAATTTGTGTGCTAAATATGCCTGGTGAACATATACCATGAAAGTCAACCAGAAAAGACTCTAAAGGTGTATGCGATCTTAGATGATCAGAGCAATAGATCACTTGCAAGATCCAAACTGTTGATCTATTTGAAATAAAGGGTGAAGGTCATCCTTACACTTTGGGTACTTGTAGTGGAACTACAGAGGTTTTTGAAGGAAGGGCTCATGGACTCATGGTATCTCCTCTCAAAAGTAACCTGCAATTACTTCTACCAACAATTGTTGAGTGCAACCAGATACCTGCAAACAGGGAAGAAATCCCTACACCAGCTGTTGCCTTCCATCACCCTCACCAGAAGGTAATAGCAAGTGAGATACCACCACTTGACAAAGATGCTCAGATCCTTCTTCTGTTAGGAAGAGACATTCTAAGGGTTCACAAGGTACACAAATAAGTCAATGGAGCCCCAAAGGCCCCATTTGCCCAGCGTACAGATCTAGGTTAGATCATCATAGGCAATGTCTGTATAGGCAAAATGAAGAGACCTACCAACATTTCATCATTAAAGACAAATATTCTGCCACATGGCTGAAACACTAACTTTGAGCCATGCTCACATCATTACTGGGCGAAAGAGAAGATATAGCCAGCTGCAAATGGTGACATAGTGTCCCAGGTAACACAAGCCATTTCTCTCCCCATGACAACTACCTCGGCTCTACAGTGTTTAATACAACCAGTGAAGACGATATACTGGCGCCTTCAATGGAAGACAAAGAATTTATCAGAGTAATGGACAATGAGTTCTTTCAAGACGACTCCAATAACTAGGTAGCACCCCTACCTTTTCGTCTCCCAAGAGAGAGATTGCCCAACAACTTACAGCAGGCCATCCACCTTAAAACGCAACTTAAGCAGGAAACCAGAGATGCAAAGGCACTTTGTGGACTTTATGCAAAATATTTTTGACAGAGATCATGCAGAGCCTGCACCCCCACTAAAGGAGGGAGAAGAATGCTGGTACCTTCCATCCTTTGGCGTGTATCACCCACGGAAACCAGACCACATCAGAGTTGTCTTTGATTCCAGAGCTCAGCATGAAGGTGTTTCTCTTAACAGCATGCTCCTTACTGGGCTTAACTTGAACACCAGTCTAACAGGCGTCCTCTGGCCTTCAGACAAGAGCCCATGGAAGTAATGGCTGACATTCAACAAATGTTTCACTGCTTTATTGTTAAAGAAGACAACAGAGACTACCTCAGGTTTCTATGGCACAAAAACAATGACATCCACAAGGAAGTGATAGATTATCGAATGAAGGTACATGTCTTCGGTAACAGTCCTTCCCTAAGGAGAATGGCTCAGGCTGGAGAAAAGGAATATGGATCTGATGCCCGCCAATTTGTTGAAAGAAACTTCTATGTTGACGATGCACTCAAATCCTTTTCATTTGCTAAAAAAGCAATCAATCTTCTCACCAGAACAAAGGAGATGCTGTCTGTAGCAAACCTTAGACTTCACAAGATTATATCTAACAGCCAGGAACTTATGAATGCCTTTCCTACTGAGGACTATGCCACTAGTCTAAAAAACCTTGATTTAGGTACAGATGTGCCTCCCATACAACGTAGTTTGGGTTTGCTGTGAAACATCAAACAAGACACATCCACCTTCCAAGTGTCAACTTGTGACAAACCCTTCACTAAGAGAGGAGTCTTGTGGATGGTGAACAGCATTTATGATCCACTGGGTTTCATTGTTCCAGTCACCATTCAAGGTAAGATCCTGCTAAGACAGTTATCTACTGAGAACATAGACTAGGATACTCCTTTACCTAGTGAGAAACAACACAACTGGGAAAGGTGGAGATGTTCTTTGAGGTCATTAGACAAACTTCAGATTTCATGTTGCTATGTTCCAATTTCCATTTCAACTGCTGACCATAAACAGATTCATATTTTCTCCGATGCATCAGTTGAAACTATTGCTGTAGTAGCCTATTTAAAGACCTCTGTAATTAATGGAGAATCACACTGTAGTTTTGTTCTAGGCAAGGCAAAACTCACTCCAAAACCTGCACATACCATACCAAGACTTGAACTCTGTGCGGCTGTGCTAGTGGTAGAAATTGCCAAAGTCTTACAAAGTGATATGGACACTAGAATTGAGTCTTTCACCTTTTATACAGACAGTAAGGTAATACTTGGTTATATATACAACCAAACAAAACAGTTTTACATGTACGTCAGCAACAGGGTAGAACATGTAAAGAGGTTCGTTCTACTAAGTCAATCGCATTATGTTCCACTGAACTCAACCCAGCTGACTGTGGGACCAGAGTTGTGTCAGCAGCAGCTCTTCAGAACAGCTTATGGCTTTCGCCTCCAAGGTTTTTGTGTGAGAACTCCTGCTCACTCCCTACTGACGACACCTATGGACTAGTAAGTCCTGAAGATGATAAGGAAATAAGAACTGTGAACATCACATTCAACACTTCTGTGAGTACAAAACAGAAACTGCAGTCACACCGTTTTGAACATTTTTCTACGTGGTCATCTACTGTAAGAGCTATTGCTCGCCTAATTCACATTGCTCGTTGCTTTGTGAAGAACTCTACATCAGAGTGTCATGGCTGTCACATTTGTTCCGGATGCCCCACAGCAGCAGATATTGCTCATGCAGAAGAGGTAATTATCTGTTGTGTGCAACAAGAGGTGTATCAGGAGGAATTTGAGAGAATCAGAAATTGAACTGAATTGTCCAAAAACAGTTCACTCTTCAATCTAAGCCATGTAGTTGATGCCAATCAGCTACTGAAGGCTGGAGATCTTATTCTCCTAAAGGACAAGGAAGTTTGTCGGAATTAATGGCCTATGGGTCTTATTACTAAAATTATGCCCAGTGATGATGACAAGGTCTGGAAGGTAGAGGTCAAGGTAACCAAGGGAGGATCAACACAAACATTTGCTCACCCAATTACAGAGTTAGTATTCCATTTGCCAGGTGATTGACTTATGCTATTGCATGGCAGGGAGTACATTGCTGCTTACCATAAGTTTTTTACTTGCAACTTTAGTATTCTCTGAAGATGTCCCATGTTGGATTACTACATGTTCTGCCATTCAGTTGAACTCATATTTATGTTTGCTTGTTGTATTTCTCTGTGACCATAACTTGTTTATTATTGCTCTGTGTCTTTAAGCTGTCTCCTTCTTTCTAAGCTGAGATCTTTCTCTCACCTTTTTTGTGTATACTCCTCCCCCCTGCCTCTCTCTGTAATCATTCCACTGTATCCTGTCTTACCGAATGCATCTTTCCATGAGGCTACAACATTAATTTTTTTTCTACCTATGATTACTCTCCATTAAATGGAACATTCGAATGGGTTTCCTCATCTGACTTCCTCAACCTGTGAGTTTATTCATTGAGTTAAACTATCTGACCCAATGCAAGGGATAAATTCAACACCACAAGGTATAGCTGTATACATTGCTGGAGATAAAGTTTATGGCCCAGTAGTTGAGTCAGAATATATATATATATATATATATATATATATATTGAAATATGTTTTGAAATATACTGAATATGGCCAAAATTGTAGCATTTCAAATATATGGCAATATATTTGGGAAGAATATTTAAAAAATATATTTCACATATATTTTTCTTCCATGTGGGTAAAGACCACGCAATATGGGTACCCATATGGGTACCTTCAATGAAAATTTTATTGTGCTACAAAATCTGTACATAGACATAAAAAGAACTCAGGAAAATAATCAAGGCATTGATGTTTATGTTAAACCTATGCATTTTATACTAATTGAGTTGGCATGCTGGAAAGCTGGAGGAGGCCCTGTCTTATACTGATTTAAATATATAGTTGGTTGATGGCTGTCTTGATTATTCATTTAGACTTCCTGACATATTCAAGGCTTTTTAGACAAAAGATACATTTTTTTCTTAACAATGTTACTTTGTCTCTCTTTATTTGGTCTCTACCTAGCAGTTTTTTCAGCCTGGGTTCAAGAAGTGTGGATCCCTCTGTGTAAGCACAAGGAGGTGTCTGATGCAGTGGTCCAATTTTAGGTGAGGTCTACTTTAAATTGAGATACACATGCTTTCTAATCTAACACACTACTTGTCTTCCAATTTGAATCTTACCTTCTGGATATTTGTAGTTGAGTGTAACATCCACCCGGGAGTCATTTCCAACTGCTTTGGTGCTGATGCTGATTGCTTTGGCCAACATATTTAGTATCACTGTGGGCTCTTTCCTTAGATCCGTCTTTTTGAACAACCCATGTAGCTCGATCAGCATTAACCTCAGCAAACACAAAAGGAGTATCATAACCCAATATTATATCTCCTTCTTTCACTGCAATCACAGATGTTGGTCCGCACCGATGTACTCCTGAAAGACAGAAATGTGCTTAATTTTAATTTCCTATTTAGCAATGTGCTAGATATCCCAATAAGCTATATGTTTTAGGTTTATACTTGGTATGTAGGTCTACCAGCTTTGAGGTACAATGTATGGGTTGCCTTTTATTAAAATGCATTTTAAATAATGTGCCTAAAATGGAATGTTACTCGAATGTTAACATACAGCTTTGTTGGATTGGATAAACAATACTTGTTATTATTATTATTATACAGGATTTATATAGCTTTACAATTGTTTTACAATATAAAGGGAGACCGTAGAAGTACAATACAATAAAATACAAGAGGGTAGGAGGGCCCTGCTCACAAGAGATTACAATCTAATAGGGTGGGGCAAGTAGTTCAAAAAGTAATAAATGTAGGGAATGAGCTGATGGAAGTGATAAAAGTTCAGTTAGTTGGAGGCTTGATAGGCTTCCCTGAAGAGTTACTTTTTCAGGGATTGCCTAGAGGCAGAGTAGGAGACAGTTGGACAGAATGTAGTAAAGAGTTCCAGAAGATGGGAGAGGCTCTGGAGAAGTCTTGGAGATGAGCATGGGAGGATGAGAAAAGGGAGCTTGAGATTAGGAGATCATGAGAGGAGCAGAGGGGACCTTTGGGTGATATTTGGAAACAAGATTGGTGATGTAGCTCAGGGCAGAGTTGTGAATGGCATTGTGTGTCATTACTAGATATTTTGAATTTAGTTTGCTGGGCAATCGGAAGCCAGTGGAGGGATTGGCAGAGAGCGGTGGCAGACACTGAGCGGTTGGTGCGGTGGATGGGTCTGGCAGCAGCATTCATGATAGAATGGAGAGGGGATAGCCTATGGAGAGGTAGGCTTATGAGAAGGTAGTTGCAATAGTCAAGGCGAAAGATAACAGGGGAGCGTATGAGTAGGTTAGTTAAAAAGGGGCGACGTTTAGAGATGTTAGAGAGGTGAAGTCTACAGGCTTTTGACAGCAATTGGATTTGGGGCTGAAAGGTCAAAGTCCAGAATTACACCTAGTACCCTGGTGTGAGGGGAGGTACTAATAGTTGCATTATTGATCTTGATGGAAAAGTCACGGAGGAGGGTATGATTGAGCAGGAATATTATCAGCTCAGTTTTAGAGAGATTTAGTTAAAGGAAGTGGTGCGACATCCATGATATGTCAGTTAGTAAGTTAGCAATGCGAGAGGAGACTGAAGTGAGTGAGGTGAGGAATAGAGAGACAGATTTGGGTGTCATCAGTGTAGAGGCGGTATTGGAAGCCATGGGAGGTTACTAGGTGACCAAGCGAGAGATGTAGATCGAAAAGAGAAGGAGTCCAAGAACAGAGCTTTGGGGGACCCCTACAGAAAGTAGAAGTGGAAAGGATGAGACAGAGTTATAGGTAACACTGAAGGAATTCTGTGATAGTTAGCAGGTGAACCAGGACAGAGCAGAATCCTGGAGGCCAAGGCAATGGAATTTATTGCCTTTTTTATTGCAGTTTATTGGAAGGAGCAGGTTATCAACAGTATTAAACCCTCAGAGAGGTCTAGTAGTAAGAGTATGGAGGAGTATGGAGTAGTGGCCATTGGTTTTAGCAGTTAGTAAATAGTGAGCTTTAGTAAGGCAGTTTCTGTGAAGTGCTGCAAGGGGTCAAAAAGGTAGTTTACTGTGAGGTAGGAGCTAAGACGGTTGTAGACTTCTAAAAGTTTAGAGGTGAGTGAACGAGATGAGAAAAAAAAAAAAAACTTAAAAAGTGACAGTGTAAAAAAAAAATTAAAGTGCCCCCCGCACCCCAGTGCTCAGGCCAAAGGTGAACACACACGCTGATCCCACATGCACGCATGCAAACAGCAATCGTCCCACGCATGTGAGGTATTGCTAAGATCATCAGAGGCTTTTAAATCACCACCTATGAATAGTAAAATTTACGCTGCTTGTCACTGTTGCCTGGGTGTGCGCAATTTTAAAACGTGACATGTTTGGAACCTATTTACATGGAGTAACATCGTCTTTTATATTTTACAAAATAATTGGTTTATGTATTGTGTATTTTTTCCCAAAAATTGCATTTGAAAAACCACTGCGCAAATACCGTGTGACATAAAAAAATGCAAAAACCAACAATTTATTCTGTAGGGCCTCTGTTTTAACAAATGTATAGTGTTTGGGTGTTCTAAAACATTTTCTAGCAAAAAATACTCATTTTAAAATATAAACAAAAAACGCCAGAAATGGTCTGAAGCTGAAGCGGACATATACTGTGTGTGTGTGTGTATATATATATATATATATATATGTATGTATGTGTGTGTGTGTATATATATATCTATATATATATATTTTTTTTTTTTAATTATTATTTTTCTGCAATACTCCCCTTTAATCCAGAGCTGTCTCCCACTGTATTTTCTTATCACCATTAAATATAACCAGTCCTCCAGACCGAATGGTGGCCAACTTCATTTAACCTACTTCTTGTCAGCCCAATCTGCTATGGGCCCACCCTTGGGGCATCAATTGTAGAAGAGTATTGTGCAGTCGCCACTGCATCCGTTGAGCAGTAAAATTGCTCCGCCAAGTGACAGCACGGATAGTGAGGTGGTGATCCTCAGTTCGCCCATGCACTTCCTTGTTAGCTGCCAAAAATATACATAGTGATCAAATGATCGCTGCTTACCTCTGGGATTAGAGGAACCTTGCAGAGGAGTGACTTGCCTTACCATGGAGAAGCATGTGTCTGATTGGACAGAGAGCTCTCCTGAGATTTGTACAGCCATCTTATATATAGAGACTATATACGTATAGCCTCTGATGGGTCATTAGGCATGCCCACAGTGTGGGAAGATGGACAGGGACAGCGACTCGTTTGTTAGCTTAGCCAAGGTTCCCAAGGAGGAGAAATAGATTAGAGATTCATCTGTCAAACCTTTCCTGCAGGCTCCACCTGGAACAGAGAGCTCCACCTGTACAGATTATCTCACGCCTGGACTACTGCAACTCCCTCCTCAGCCCCCATGCAGGCTCTCCCCGCTTCAGACCATCCTGAACTCAGCGTCCAGACTCATCCACCTCACCAGCCGCTCCACCTCTGCCACCCCCCTCTGCCCTCTCCTCACTGGCTCCCCATTGCCCAACGCATTAAATTAGGCACCTATAAGCCACAACACTGCCCCTACTCACCGTGATTCCCAAGTACCACCCTACCCGAAAAGTATGTCCTCCCACGCACGACTGCAAGGGACAGGAACTCACTACCCCAATCCATCAGACTGTCACCGTTCCTGTTCCCTGAAGGGAGGGAAAACCCCACCCTGCCGCTGCTAAGCCTAGGCCGTTTCCTCCTGTGCCTCTAACCCCCCCCTCCTAGATTGTAAGCTCGAAAGAGTAGGGCCCTCTAACCCTTGTGTACTGTTTGATGTTACTGTTCTGTTTCATGTGTCCCCCCTCTATTGTACAGCGCTGAGCAAACCCTTTGGCGCTATATAAACTCGATAAATAAATATAAATAAATAAATAAGAGATGGTCCTGCATACCTCCTGGAGACTATCTGACACTGGAGAAGGACCTTATGTCCAATGAGCTAACTTGATTGGTGCATTCTATGGTGTTTTACAGAAAGAATAAAGTTTTGCTTGTGAAGCTGGCACAATACCAGATACCAATTTTCGTTTAATCAGTACTGTCTTCAAAAATACAATACAATACATTACATCAATTTCAAATTCTGGCGTACAAGAATTTTCCTAACCTTATTAACCTTTTCACTTTCGCTTTGAGGCTAGCATGCAAAAAAAAAAAAAAGCAGACAATCATTTGTCCGATATTCCCGTGTGTTTTTTCGGGGCCTTACCTTGGCTTTCCTCCTGTGGTGTTGAATCCAGAACTTGCCAGCCACTGTAATAAAGGCCAAGGTCCCGTCTTAAGAACCAGGATTCATTCCACACATGAAAGTTCCTGCATTGTAAATAGAATTCAGAACACATGGACCAATGTAATGGTGCAAAAATATCCATACCTTGAATTCTTTTTTAATGTTGTTACTTTTATTAAAGAAACTTTACCTGTGTTACAGTCAATATATGTTCAATGATTTCAGTGCCATAGAAAGGGTTAATTAATTAAGGAACAACAAATCCAATTTAACAGCTAGATAAACTGGAACATCATGGTAACATTTGTTTTAAAACAGTTTACTCCAATAGCTTCAGTGTTGGTCATAATCCCTTATGAGCAATTAACAGGGAACAGGTTAGGTTGTTACTTGTTGTCATGCTTTGTTTACTTACAACTTAGAGTACATTTATATTTCAAGCTTTCTTTTTTGTTTTTGAGCAGGGATAGAGCTTATCTCTTGTGAAGGAATTTTCACTTCCTGTATTGGCTTGTGGTTTTACCACCCCTCAGCCTCACATGTGAATGAGCTCTTGGTTCACATCTGTGAATCTGCTCATTCATTTCAACCCACAGAAACACAGGGAAAGAATTCCCCAATCCTTTTTTTTTTAAATTGTGCCGCACCAAAAAACGCACTGTGTTTGCCAACACGTGTGCTGCTAAAGAGCGTCGTATTTCTCTGCATGTCGATTTTGTGTGTGTTCCCCTAACACACAGTAATGTGAACCAAGCCGTTAGACTTTACTATATAAATACTTTTTAAGGGCTTCCTGACTTGAAAAAGGTTGAGAAACACTGCTCTAAAGATACATACCAAACCCTTATCAAGGGGAACCACCACACGAAAAAAGATACAAAAAAAAAAAAAAGGCTTAAAGGATAAGTTCATATTTTTTTTCTTTTATTGTTCTTAAAAAATGGATTACACTAGGGCAGATGTGCGCTCTCTTCCTTTCTCTGTTTCTAAAAATAATAAATGCACATTTTTTTGCAGGTAAAAAAAATTGTGAATGTATTATTTTTTGTTGCAAGAGCCTGTAAAGCATTGCACCTACATTTAACAGATTGCTGGTGCCATGTAGGTCTCCTGCAGACCTGTCAGTATATCTGCTTGCCCATATGGGATGTACGGGCAAGCAGATATACTGATCGGAAGAATCAATGAATTACAAGCCAACAGCTGCCAAGGCTGTTACTTTATAAATACTTTCAAGGGCTCCCTGACTTGAAAAAGGTTGAGAACACTGCCCTAAAGATACATACCAGACCCTTATCCTGATGAAGACCTGGTATAGCTATCAAGGGGAACCGCCACACAAAAAAACGAACAAACAAAAAAAAAAAGGCTTAAAAGATAAGTTCACATTTAAACTAAAAATATTAAATGCACATTTTTTTGCAGGTAAAAAAAAAATCTGAATTTATTATTTTTTGTTGCAGGAGCCTGTAAAGCATTGCACCTGCAATTAACAGATCGCTGGTGCCATGCAGGTCTCCTGCAGACCTGTCAGTAAATCTACTTGCTCATATAGGATGTACGAGCAAACAGACATACTGACAGGAAGAATCAATGAACTACAAGCCAATAGCCGCTAAGGCTATTGTAGTTCATTCATTCACAGAACTCTGTGAATGAATGACGTGGCCATGTGGGCGCAGCCCTGCATGGCAGCACTGATTTTAAAAACTGACAGTTAGTATGGGGAACTTCTTCCCTTCTCCTACTGCTGTCACAGGGAGGGAGATCGGGCAGTGGCTGCAGCATTGGGAACATATTACATGTTCCATAATGGGTGAAACATTTAACATTTTCCCAAAGGTGAACTTATCCTTTAATGTTCCTGAAATTTCCATATAAAAATAGAAGAGAATAGAAGAGAACAGAACTGAACTGATCAGAATCTCAGAAACGTAAGTTCTGCATCACTTTTGTCAGTCATCAGGAGTCGGCTGGCTCCTGCGGGTTCAGGCAGATGGCACCTAATGACACACACTAGGTTTTTCAACCAGCTAGTGTCAGTCCTTGCCCTTGCAGCCTCCTGTGGAATATAAAGTGGATATCCCAGGAGGCTAGGCAAAAATGGCGGTGGTTGGTTTTTGTTTTTTGTTTTTTTTTTACAAAACAAAAAAAAACCTTTTAACTTTCCAGGGGGAGGGTGGAGAGTGCAGGGAGGTAAGGAGGTAAAGGTATTTAGTGGAGTGAAGATCCGCTTTAAATTAAATTCAATTTAATTAGTCACTATTGGACCTTAAGGAGAAGTATAGCCAAATCTCTTTGTTTATTGTATGTTTATTGAACTTTAAAAAAAAAAAAAAAAAAAAAATTAGCCAGCTATCTGGGGATCACACATGTTGTACATTAACTACTTAGGTCACCCTGTTGTTTACTGAAAAACACCACTTACCAAATGCTGTCATCGGAGATCTCCAAGAACTTCCCATCTGTGTCATAGTGCATGTCTATGACCATGTTCCCATCCGTGTTATGGGCGGAGTTGAAATTTGTGATGACTCTGGTTGGGATGCCCAGACACCTGAGGACTTATGCAGCAAGAGACAATCATATAATTAGCATATATCATGGTGATTTCCAACAAAGATCAGAGTAAAGTATGATTTTAGTTTTGACAAGTGCATTATGTTGACCTTTTTAGTGATAAGGCAGGTTGATTTATTACATTCAGAATAACATTTATTGGCTTAGATCAAAACTTGTCACTCCCTTTTTCATCTTGGATAAAAAGTTATTTTGACAGGTTTACTCTAAGGTGTATCCAAACTCAAGAGCAAAAATATAATATAATATAATATATATTGCAGCATGCCAGCCCTTAGATGTGGTGTCTGTATCCACTTGACCTCCAGAGGATTTACCCCCCTTAATGACCAGGCCTCTTTTTGCTACTCGGCGCTGCACTAATTCAACTGATAATTGCGCAGTCATGCAATGCTGTACCCAAACGAAATTTACGTCCTTTTTTTCACACAAATAGAGCTTTCTTTCGATGGTATTTGATCACCTGTGCGCTTTTTATTTTTCATGCTATAAACAAAAAAAGGCCAATAATTTTGAAGAAAAACAATATTTTTTACTTTCAGCTTTAAAAAATATATAGTAAACTCAAAGTTAGTTATAAATTTAGGCCAAAATGTATTCTGCTACATGTTTTTGGTAAAAAAAAATCCCAATAAGTGTATATTGATTGCTTTGTGTGAAAGTTATAGCGTCTACAAACTATGGTATAGATACTGCAATTTGCGCCATTTTTCTGCTATACAGCACTGCGCTAGTTTAACGGACAATTGCATGGTCATGCAATATGGTACAATAATGAAATTTACATCCTTTTTTTTTCCCACAAATTGAGCTTTCTTTTGGTGGTATTTGATCGCCTGTGCGGTTTTTATTTTTTGCGCTATAAAAAAAAGGCTGACAATTTTGAGGAAAAAAAACAATATTTTGGACTTTTTGCTATAAAACATGTCCAGTAAAAAAAAAATTAAAAATCAAATTTAGCCATAAATTTCTGCCAAAATGCATTCTGCGACATGTCTTTGCTAAAAAAAACCCAATACGTGTAAATTAATTGGTTTACATGAAAGTTATAGCGTTTACAAATGGCGGGAAAGATACTGGGATTTTTAGGGGTTTTTTTATACTAATAATGGCGGCGATCAGCGACTTATGGCGGCGATCAATGACTTATGGCGGCGATCAGCAACTTATGGCGGGACTGCGGCAGACATTCTGACATTAGGGGTACTGACTTGGGGTCACTGACATCCCCAGTGACACCAATACAGTGAACAGTGCAAAAAAAAACACTGACACTGTACTAATGGCACTGGGGAGGAAGGGGTTAAGTTAATTTTTCAGGGAAAGGGTTATCTGTGTGAGGGGAGTGTTTTACTAGGGGTGTGTGTACTGCACAGGACACCGCTGATCAGGAGAGAGAAACTCTTCTGTCCCAATCAGCTTGTCCTGGAGCTGTCAGGGAACTGACAGAAAGCACAGCTACTGCAGCTGTGCTCTCTGTCAGGGATTGCCGCCGATCGCCGGGAAATAGCCAGTAAGGACTGACATCCGCGGCTGTGATCGGCGGGACAGGTAAGGCGGCGGCGCGCCTCGCGCGCGCCCCCTACCTGTTTACAAAACACACGTTTTAAAACGTGGTTTTGCCCAGCCGTGCCACCCTGCCACCGTATTTATACAGTAGCTGGGCGGCATGTGGGTATTCATGATTTTTTTTTTTAAAGCTAAGAATATTTACTGCAAGCAAAGAAAATGATTTATTATCCTGCTAGAAACCTAGTTTCCTTGTCACTTCTTGCACTGAACTAATCTTCCGCTGTTGTACAACCCCCCCCCCCCCTGCATGTAATGGAGATGAGAAAGAGGGAGGTGTTTGTAGCACAAATCAAGGGAGCCACCTTGGGTGACAACATTGCTCCTTTATAATACAGTACATAAGTGCTGTCACCTTAGTATGGGAAGTTACTGTCAGGATTACAAAATAAAGAACAAAATCCTGAACAATTAAAATGAATGCAGCCAACACATCTAAAGGCTGGTAAGCTGAAATACTGTATATTACATTTTTAATTGTCATTATTTCTTCATTTGTAGTTTACTTAATTTTGAATGCATTGCTATCTAAATTGCCATTGTATTTTAATCAGCAGCCAACTATGGTTTTCAAGAATTGTCAAAATGATGATTTGCCTCTGCAGCCAACATTGGCAGCATACTTTTTTGTAAAGAACACTCCCAGATTCTAATTCCCTGCTCATCTGGTTGCCCCACTGCCTGTGTAAGCAGGTTATTACAAAATTGAGAGTGATCATGTGATTATGGCAGATACACCCTTTCTTTGCCCGGTATATAGGAGTTCATGGAATGGCCTATATTAGTATCTAGAGGTAAAAATCTTGTATAAATATGTGATAAAGTTTGCTCCTGTTTCAATATGTACAACTAATCTGGAGAGATTTTTTTTTACAAATAATGTTTCATTTTGAACCAGAAATCCAGTGTAATATGCTGTTTTAGTTTATGTATGGATATGTTCCCTGTTGCAGATAAGACGAAAACACTTGCTGACTATGCCTTATAGGTACAGTATTTTAATTACGCATCTTGGCATTCAGGGATTTAATATTTTATCTTATAATCATCGAACAAAAAAAAAAATGTCTCATGTTTTAATATATGCTAGTCACAGCAGACACCCTGTAAGACTACAGGTTACTTCAGGTATGTAAATGGTTTTCACAGTAGTAATTAGGAGTCATACCTGTGTGATCACTAGGAATATCCCTAAATACATCATAGCATATTCCTACATCTCAATTCTAAATCCCAGCACCAGTTTTGGGAAGCAGTTACCCTCTTTGCAGTTAGTCGTTTCGTATTGTAAGAATTTCTCTGATTTATAAAAGGAGTAATGACAAAGTTTAAAGTTGAATTTCCAGGCAAACATTAAAATACAGAGATGGAATATATATAAGGAGGCTGCTTTACCCATAAAAGTATTTGTATTTCTGTTCATCCAGCTCTGAGATTTACACAGCTCTGTCACACAGCACAGCCCTGCCTGGCAAGGCAAGGAACCTAAATTTTCTGTGCTGTAGCTAATGCAGGCCATACATGAGTCAAAGTCCAAAATCAAAAACGTTGTTCACTCGGTAATCCGATGGTGCCATCAATGATTTCGAAAATTGGCCAACCAAGTCATGAAGTTCACCCCATATAACAGGCGAAACTTCTGTTCCTTCCAGGTCACAGCTCATGTGCATATTCTTTTCGGAAAAACAATTGTACAATTTGACCATTATTGAGTCGAAAATCGGTCGTTTTTCATGAATTTTCCAACATGCCCAATCACCAAAAAGGGGAGGAACCAGGAAAATTGGCCAGTGCCATTGACCCACTAACAGAGCAAAAATTGGTCGATTATCTTAGGTCCAATTTTCGGACGAAAAATCGGTCGAGTTTCAACCCCATGTATGTCTGCCATAAGTAACATTTAAAGCTGCTTCACACCAGATGCAGTCCGTGGATTGGAATGACCTTAGCTCACACCAGTGCAGTTCATTGCAGTGCAGTCAACAAAAGCAGAACATGCTGAATTTTTTTCTGTATGGAACACATCTGGAATGCAGCAAAAAGCATCAAAAACTGACTGGAATCCACTGGAACTCATCAAAAAGTACTTAAACGCACTTGTCCTTCAAGTGATTCTAAAGGTTGGAGTTAAAAAAAAAGTTATACTTACCTGCTCTGTGCGATAGTGTTGTGCACAGAGCAGACCTGATCCTCTTCTTTTTGGGTTCCCCATCAGCAGTCTTGGCTCCTCCCCCCCAGTCGAGTGCCCCCAATAGCAAGCCCCTTGCTATGGGCTCATTTAAGCAGGTTCGCTCCCGAGTCTTGCTCCTGTGAATGGATATTGTCCATTCACACACAAAAATGTCACTCGTCCCCTCCCCTCTCTCCTAATTGGCCCACTGGTTGTGACTGACAGCAGCAGGAGCCAATGGCTCCCGCTGCTGTGTGTGAGCCAGTGAGGAGAGAGAGACCTGGTAGAGCCTTGGCTCTCATGCACATCGCTTGAGCAAGCTGGAGCCCAGGTATGTATAAGGGGAGGGGGCTGAGGGGGAAGCTGCAGTCATGTTTTCTACCTTCATGCATAGAATGCATGAAGGTAAAAAAAACCTTCTGCAATTAGAAACACTTTAATTGACATGAAAAATAGAGGGGGATAAAAACACTAGAATGCATCAGAAATGGATAAAAATGTACTGGTATGCAAAAAAAAAACACATCAAAAACACACATGCAGAAACGCATTCGAAGTGCAGAAATTGTGGTGAAAACCAGCCCTTACAATTCATGTCCCTCCCTCAGCCTGTGCCTTGACAGTGAAAAGAGTAGCAGAAGGCTGAGGAGCTCACTTTCTGCCCCTCTGCTCTCTCCTCCTATCAGCTTGTTACTTTTATCTTATGCGGGGCAAAGTGACCTACAGTAGTCTCTGCAAGGGAAATCCACCAACCCCCCATATACTCACCTTAGCTTCTTGCTCCTCTGTAGCTGGCACTGAAATTGGCAGTGTTAGTGTCTCCCAGGTGGAGGGAGCTCACCGCTTTGGCCATGTGACAGTGTTTCGGCGATTGGCTGCTAGGCCCAAGCACTGTCAAAGGAAAGCATGTCACCTGTAAGTGCCAGGTATTCCTGCTGACTGTAGTGCAGCAAGGAGTGGTGAGGAAGTGCAGGTAAGATGACCGTAGAGACACTGTCACTTTTCCATGCATGGTCATGGTCCCCTGGCCTTTGCACATTTAGACTGCCATAAAAGGAACAAGTCAAAAATGCACTCAAAATTTAATTATGGACACATTGCACAGCAGCAAGATAAATTATAACAAAGGCTTACCTGTACACATCACTGCTGCAAAGACCCAGCACTGGCCATACTTTACTGGCTTGTAGTTGTCATTTTTCCATTTCCAAAGAATTTCCACACTTCCATTCCAGCTGTTTGGGTCAACCCCATCTGAAAAGTCTTTTTCCCACTTCCCCTCGAGCACACCAAAGTCATCATTGCTGTTGACCTGGGACCACAAACAGAATATTGTTACTATGGTTTTCTACTCTCATTGATACTAATGGATACAACCAAGCTGAGTGATCCAACTGTGTCTTCAGAAACTATTATACATTCTCAGTTCCATAGCACTGCCTTAGCGATCCTTTAACTGCTCTTTCTGACACAGGGGAGAAGTTCTGGAACTCCAAGCCTCATATAGTATAAATAATAAGTGCTCAGTACAGGCTTTGACTAAACTAATGCTGGTGCAGAAGGTGCCTGTAGACCAATGTGGCTGCTGAGCCGTTGAAGGGGATTGGGCTTTTTCTACATATTGGGTATAGTGGATCGGAGTGTCAATTGGTTATACTGTTAGGCAATTTTACAGCAATTGCATCCACTTTATATCTTTTTTGACTGCAACCCAATCAAAGGATTTAAAATGGTCTTTCTCCCAACATTTTCATGATTTTGATTTTTAAACTCTTTGTGGTAAGTTGTCCTTATAAATCAGGTCATTTTTGTAATTAAAGGCTGGTAGTAGGAGTAGATGGCCAGAAGAATTCCAGACAGACACAGCAATTTTCTGACAATATTAGCTACTTCTACCAGATTTTAATTGCACAAATCAAAGCAATATGCCATAAAAAGTTTGCAGTAGGTTGCTTAACCCCATTTTTATTCTTTTCAAAATGAAAGTTAGTTTCTAAGTTATTGAAACCAACTGAAACTTGCATTGTAGATGGCCAAAATACGAGTAGATATTTCCTCATAATTAGATTCAGATTTTAGACTCAGAGCTAAATATGATCTATGGGCTTGTACAGATCCCAACAGTACTTAGTGCTGATATGGTAAGATGTATATTTCCTGTGCTTATGGAGACTTCAGATGTCCTCCATACTTTAGGTTATCAGCTAAAAGGACAATGCCAAGATTGTAATGTTCTTTATAATGGTCTTTATAAATCAACCTCATTGTATTCCAAGGATCTCTGCACACAAAATGATCCCTTCTTACCATAGCACTGATGATTCTTCCCACATAGATGGGACTGTGCCTCTGGGAGCAATCTAGAGCTGAGTCTTTCTGATAGTTCAAACTTCTGTCCATGATGTCCAAGCAGATATTCAGAATATTATTTTCAAACTAGACAAATTAAACATAACAGATAAATATCAAATAGAGTCTAAACCATGTAGGCTATGTACAAACATTAAATATAATGCTATAAATTGATGTGGAAGAAGATATAGAGCTTATGAAAAAGACTATTAAGGTACATAAGCCCAAACTGTCTTCCATCACTCGACTGATATATTCACCACCCTTTACACAACATTGACTGCATAGGTTTAGACAAATCAAGAGTCTTTGTAGCCCAAAGTCAACAAAAAGTGATGTTGGCCATCTAAAAGTTTTTGTGCATATCCAAATTTCAGAACTTATTTCATGGAAGGCTTGTAGTCTAGTTTGGGAGCAGATAGGGTAACTAAAGTTGGCCATAGATGCACTATTTTTTGAAGAGGTTTTCTGACAGCCGGTGGACTGATTAAAAAAAAAAAACCAAAAAACAGATTCCCCCATCTGCACAAGTGAGGTGGATGGGGGAATCCTCCCCTCTGTGATATTTGACCCCTTGGGGGAGTCAAAATAGACTGGACTCCTTAGCAGTCAGAATATAGTGATTAGCTGATCGAGTAAAAATTTTCCAGCATTCCCGTTCGAGAGAAGCCAATCATTAGATTTACTTCTCTCAAGTGGGATCAGCCATAGATGGAACTAAATCTTGCCAGTTCAGCAGTGACTGCCTGATTTTCAATTCACCTATGGCCAGCTTTAGTTATCCCTCATCTCATGTTCATGTATATTTGCTCCTCTATTGGCTGCATAACAACAACCATGGCAATATGAGCCAAAAATGAATGAATTTTCTGCTGCTGTGCATATGTTCATAAATGGTCATTGATAGATATCAGATACACTCTGATATATCTAGATATAGATATATATATATATATATATAAAATGTCTGAGGAACACACCTGACCATAGTTCCATCCCATCCCAGTTACATGATTCTCATTTCCCATGAAAATGACACCATGGTCATTTAGGATGTATTCTTGCCTTTCTTCTTCATTGGCCATGTACACATCATCATCTGTAGAGGAAAAGTTAAAACATAATCTTCATTGAACGTTTAGTTATAAAAAATACATGGTTTGGTTACAACATTTAGGTAACCATTCAATATTTTTGTTATCTCTTTATAACCGTGAAAAATGGAGATTGTTGGTACAAATTCTATCTAACAACATATCTATTTTTCTACATTCCATTGGGCTGTAGATTTGCCTTCTATCATGCTAGAAGAAAGGCAGACCGGCATGTGCTAATACAGTCAAGTACCTTTTAATTTTCATAAATTTAGAAACATAGATGTTCTTTCCCATATTTCATTTACAGAATACATAAGAGCCTTCAAGGGCAGTTTCAAAATTGTCAGTGTGATAATATGGGGGAGTTTTACTAAAATTGGTGCACACATAATCTGGGGCAGCTGTACACAGTAACCAATCAGCTTCCAGGTTTTATTGTCAAAGCTTAATTAAACAAGTTGAAGTTAGAAGTTGATTGGTTACTATGCACAGCTGCACCAGTTTCTGTTTGCTCCAGTTTTAATAAATCCCCCTCTACGGCTAGGTAGTTGATTGCAGTAGAGAAGAAAGGGGTCACAGGATATTTGGACTCGGGGCTTATGAAGTTTAAATCTGACCCCTTCCAAAAAAAAATGTAGAGCCACACAAATAAATTGTGTGAATGTTAAAAAGTGTTACATTCTAAATATCTATATTTCAACTCATTCCTTCTTTGAAACTAAACTCCAACCTAAAATCCGTGGCCAATGTATTGCTTCCTCTGCATAACTCTTTTATCTAGCAGCACACTCTAAGAAGCTCACAGTGTGCATTAGAAGCTGACTACTTTTATATAGCAGCTGAGTCAGTTTCTGAGTGGATGAAGACCAGTATCATCCAGCCTTTTCCTCCTGGGCCTGGAGTTTGCGGCCCGCCCATTTTAGGTAGTTGAATAGCTGCTCTATCTTTTACAGTAGCCCTGTGTCACATATAGGTGTAACTGTTGATGATCTGCAAGCTAGAAATGCTCACCCATCATGACTGATACCTGTAACCCTGCCAGGCCTGCCACCAGCCACAGCGGGTGGCATAGGTAAAGAGACACACTGATGACGTGACTGGGCCAAAAATATTTATAGTGTACCCCCAAGGATCTGATAATGATACTCTGGGGTTGTTTAACTAAAGGCAATTAAACTGTGCACTTTACAAAGTGCAATTGCAATATGCAAGTACAGTTGCTCCAGAACTTATTAAATGAGCAGAAGCTCTGCTGATTTCCATCATCCAATCATGTGCAAGCAAAAATGCTGTTTTTTTATTTTCCTTGCATGTGATTGGGTATTCTTGGCAAAGGGAACTTTATCTCATTTATTAAGCTCTGGGGCAACTGCAGTTGAAGAGTGCAATTGCACTTTGCAAAGTGCAGTCTAATTGCCTTTAGTAAATCAACCCCACTGATTCCTTCCTCAATTCTAGTTCAAACAGCCAGGCACATGGAATTTCCCTTCTCCCTCTTGATCAATAAACAGTGGGACCAGGGAGTGCCTTTTATGCTGTTATTTTGTGGCTTAGACTTGGATGGGGTAAACGAACATAGAATACCCCAAGAGGAAAACTCTGAATTATAAGAGGACACCTCTCTTCCTGCTAATCACTCACTGTATCACAAAGCAGACAAAGCAAAGCTCTCAATAAAATCACTACTGGCTGGTAATGTCTAGTGCCTTTTTGGAGAACAGAAATTTGCACACAGTTACTAGGGCTCTGAATTACAGTCAGTCAGTACTCACAATGCCACAGGATCATCGGTTGCTCCTGATATCCAAATGGCACTCTTCAGTGAGGGAGAAACAAAGCTCACAGTACCACAAGACAGATGGACACCCTCCTCCATCTTCCATTGAGTACAGTTTAGTTAGCTCTCCAGACCAAAATTCCCAGATCAAACTTTAAAAAAGGCCCCCCCAGTTATGCTACAACCAAGACCTCAATGCCCTCAAGTGAGATTCCAGCAGATTGTTCTTAGGGGCAGAGGCCCCTGGGCATGGGCTTCTTCTGCAGGACTGGATACTAAACCAACTCTTGCCCCAGGACTCAGACTATTTATAGGCTCTCCAGCCACCTACTGAGTGCACCTTCCCAGGGATTGGATGGGTCCCAATAAATATTCAGACTGCCCTCCTGTATTTCCTCCCACTGTGACTCCAGAACCCTCTAGAATGCAAGAGGAAACAATCAGACCAGCAGCCTGTGAAACACTGAGCAGGCTAAAGCAATCAACAGCTGCTCCATTTGCTACAGAGGAGCCAGAGTAAATTGACTTAGTATCCTAAAATCTAATTAGAATGATGCTACATATTATATATCAAAACAGCACAGTGTGAGTACAATGTTCTTTTTGCTGGCGTAATAGGGGTAAACTGGAAACCAGTGAGGTTATAATTTTCATTGACTAGAGTTTAGATTGAACAAAGTATTTTAGTGTCCTCAAATTTACAGCCATTAAAAATTGTATATGTTATAATTTTCCAACTGCTGCAAAGGATTTTCATTGTTTTGAAATACTCATCGTTAATCACATGCAACTCATAGATGTAAAGATCCTTGTAAAAAAAACTGTTTACAGTCATCAATACTGATGTCTCCTAACTCCTCCTCAGATAGTTATTCCAATGTTCACATAAATTGTTGAAAATGGAAATTGCTATATAACAAACAGATGTTTTCCAGTGCTCCAGTCTGTTAGGCCTTACCTAGACACCAGGGGTTGAAGAGCAGTATGAATTTTCCAAGTGAATATGTAACAGTCTGACCCATCACAGAAATCCGAACACTGAGGTCATATCTCCCTACGACCGCAGTGGCAGGACTGGACATGATTATCCGTAGGGAATTGCCAGGACTGGACTCTAGAACTGCACTCCACATGCCACTGCTCCATGAGCTTGACAGGGGAAACTCCACATTTGTGTTGACATATGTTGAGTTTGAGGGACCTTTTAAGGACATACAAAAGACATAAAAATGCATTAGTATGCATGCTGAGAGGGAACATATAAGCATATTGTAACCAGGAAAGTCTAGAAAGCACAATAAAAGTATTAATTCAAAACTTTATATTGTCAATATAATTTTTGTGTCAGTTATTCAGTGGAAAATAATGCTATACCAAAGCACCTATTTCATGTTCAAACTTTCTGACAACTTTTAGTACAAAGTATTTAGAAAAATTACGCTCTCCTGCTACATCTCCAGTTAAACATCCCATAAAGAAGTAATATGTAAAGATGATTAGAAAAAAAGTGCTTCTTTTTCATCACTACCTTTTCTTCATATAGTGTTTTCCAAATAAATCCAATAATAGATGGCTGGATGGATGGGTTAATAAGGTACATTTTTTGTCAGAGTTGCAGTGTTACCTTCAGTCTTGCACATTTGTACATGACACTCTCCTGTACTGAAATTGCTTACTCCGATTTCACTGCACACTGTGAGCTTTTCCATAGCAAGTTACACAGAGCCCTCCTCATTTCCTGACCAGCATTATCTTGTTCTTTCTTCCACAGACTTACTGTCCATGGCCCACCCCTTTTAATTCATTCGATCTCAGTTCTTTAAATCATTGAGGATAAACATCAAATTTGGCAGATACCTAGGGCAGTCTACATGCAAATTTAGCCTGCCTAAGATTGCCCACTCCTCCAGACTAACATCCACCTCCTAAGAACACAGCCCCTATTGTGCAAAACTACTGGGAAGCCATAATGGACATTGCTCATGAATTGGATATCTGCTCATTCTCAACATATTGTTGAGAACTCTTATGTTTGCTCCTGTAGGATGATACATCCTGGATAAATAAATCTCCAGACAGGCCTGAAGCTGGAAAAAAGAGCAAGGTCTGCCTGATAGGGTTTGGAGGGGCTAGGGCCACAGGCAGTCAATAAAATAAAAAAATATGTGGTGTTATTTACTTGACACTTATCCCAACTGGAGAACTGGGATGAGTATAGGAGTGATAACAAATGTGAGGAAGACTGCCCAGTGCTTAGATGAGTAATGCAATGTCAAATGAGCATTTTACCCTCAGACCCCTAATAATATATTTTTTCCCAATTGAACATAGACTAGCAATTTATTATAGAGTACTATTTGTATCTAATACTTTGTCACTTTAGCATGGTGGGGCCATAGAGTTTTTGAAGGCTAGTATTTGATCGGGTTTATGGAAATAGGGAAACCATCCCAGGTATGGTGTTCCTTAGCTGCATTTGAAGCTGGTGTCCATATTGGATCTGAGGTGGTTATGGCCAAAATGTCCTCAGGTCAATGTTTTGGGGGTTCCCTTTTGTATAGCTATGGATACAAATGCGTTGGTTAATAATATGCTTTCAAGAACCTTGATGCCTTTGCACATGCTTTCTCCTGATACAAGAACTTACAAATACAACAAGAAATTATCCAGTTTCTCGGAATTTGTAAAACAAAACTGTGAAGTGTGGTCCATGCAGAGTGTTTTCCCATCAACCTAGACAGTACAGCTCCAAACCTATTCCATACTATGATAGCACCAATGAAATGCCAGATGAAAGATACCTGTGCGTGCAACGAACACTATGCTCTTCCAGTCACGTAGTGGTTTGTTGAATTCCAGAGTTAATCTGCAGGACTGTCCTCTACGCAGTATCAGCTCAGAGCTGTTATACATGTCCGTATGGTGGGCCTTTTTATTGGATTCTGCAGGAATAAGAAGGAAATTCATTTTAAAGTAGGAATGGGAACAAAAGGAAATTACATAGTTAACCAGGTTGAAAAAAGTCCATCTAGTTCAACCAGTAGAAACAATAAATAAATAGAAAATAGAAAAACCTCTATACGCAGAGCCTTATACCCACAGTTGATCCAAAGGAAGGCAAAAAGCCCTTTAAAGCATGGTCCAATGATTATTGTTCAATGGCTATTCAATTGTTGTTCAAGTAAATAAAAGATGTGTACCACCTTCTTAAAGTAGATCTAAAGCTATTTTTTAGTTTGGGATAGAGTAGGAATTGGTTACCACCACTGGCAAGTTTTGTTTGCCTTCTAGGTCCCAGTTGAGACATTTCTCTTAGTTCCTGTCCCATCCCATAAAAACAACAAGAAGTAAACTTCTTGGATAAAAGTTTTGGCTTGTAAATGCACTTTAATCTGATGGATGACTCAACAAATGGATACTGACTATTACTGCCTTGTTAATGATAATGAATATTTGTATATATGTAATTTTATATGTGTATATAATAAAGTTGCATATTGTTTTACCATGGTGCCAATATAATTGTCTGGCTACCATGTTTCATAATAATAACAATAATATTTAACATTAAGCCATCTAGCATTAAGCCATCCATTGTAGATTAAAGGTGCAAATCATGCCTCATATTCTGTAGAAGGCAGGCCATAAATGATGCAATTTTCTTTTCTTCAACCACGGGTTGCAGAAAAGAAAATCACCGAATTCCCTCATCAACACTGTGGAGCTAATTTGTTGGGGGGGGGGGGGTGGGGGGGGGTGGGTAGCTATCTCTGCTGGGCGAACACAGTGATAACTGATAGAGGCTATAGCCACTGGCAATAATCACATGCTAAAGATCTGACATGTTGTACACTAGTTAATCGATGGACTGACTTGGGTACAATCAGCCTGTCCAAAGATTGATCGAATCTTGCCCGGTGTACACTTGTGCTAGGGCCATGTTTACCTTCACAGAGATGCACAGCTGTTTGGTGCATCCTTGTGTAGACAGTTCCATGTCAGTTGGGACACAGTGGCTGCATAGACACAGCTGTTGCTCCTAACTTGACATCCGTGTGGGTGTATGGATTCATACACACAGTATCTGCTGCTGCCACTGCATCCCACTTGCCATTAATAGGACTGCCTGCACGGGTATGCATGGAACATCTTTGCATTCTGTGCAGGTAAACACAGCCCTTGCATAGGTGTATGCTGTAGTATGCCCATGTGAACAAGGCCTTAGTGAAAGTAAATTACCTGTCTGTTTCTCTCCCCTTTCCACCTCCGCATATGTATTAGTGAACTATTTAGTAAAACCGTGCCTTTAACAAACTGGCAGGAAATTAGCGGTCATGTGCCCTTGTCATCATGTGACCAGGGGGCTATGGTTGGGCTTCAAGATTGCTGCAAGATCAGAACCTTCTGTTCTGAAGTGCTCTTATATAACTACATTTTCCCTACATGCCTTTACATTGCTGTTGGAGGGCTGGGGATGGGGAAGACTTTGTGCCTGGTCCACATCTTTGGACTCACTTACACAACTACAGTGAACCTGGTGGCTCTATGATGCAACCATCCTGTACATTGAAAGGGTGTGTCCATGACTGCCTGAGCTCACAGAAAGTAGTTTGAAGACACTGGCTGTCATTTATTCAGGCAAGGGCAGCACCCAAAGAAGAAGTAGGACTTGTGGGCAACACAGCGTTGTAGACATTGAAAAAAGTGACAGGTTCTCCTAAGCAAACATATGTCCTTTACAATTTAATCAGTGTATAATTTATGGGGAGGGGTCCATCTGACTCTTCCGTGAATTTCATAATTGGTTTAGGTTGTCTAACCAAACTGAGTAGTTCTGCTTTCCACCTGTGATTAAATGTTCATTATTCCGCAGTAAATGACACAGCAAGATCCAGTTTTTTCCTAAAATAGGTTGTACAGCTTCTTTCATCTGTATGGAAAGATGACAGGTCACTTTGAACTCCTGTGTGATGTATGGAATGCCATTGGATCACGGACATATCAAGTAACAAACTTGAATGTACATAATGACACGGGTGACGATCCTGTACCTATCGACCTGTGGTCATTTTACATTACTCAGATGTTAATCTGTCTCATTTGATTTGTATTGTATGTGCATGCCCAAGTCATCCCTCTTAATGGCAAACTATTATTAAGGATCCTGTTCCTGTCAGAAGAATAATATTTTAGGATGAGTATAATCTGCTAGGCCTGCTGAACACATGGTAGAGGCAAGGTGTACAAGCACACTCACTTAAAAGGGAAGTTTTATCACAAAGAAAACATTGTCTATTTACATGTATGCTGGAATTCACAAGCGGGTTATCTAAATAGGAATATACTTTCAAACCCGTGAGTACACAAGGAAGCCATTGTGCAGCATGACAGTGGTATCATGCTGGCGGTGGTTATGTCACAGGTTATGGAGGCTTCACGTGCTAAGATGTTACTAGAAAGAGGCTTATTACATAAGAATAATGTAAAGGTATAACAATTAGTTAGCAGTCATTTTTACTAATCTGGTTGCCCTACACTGATAAAAGGAGAAATTTAATTGATTGGTTGGTACAGATTCCTACACTTTAAAATGGTTGTAAACCTTATTTTTTTTCCTTAAAATTATAAAACATGTCATAATTACTTGCTCTGTGCAATGGCTTTGGACAGAGTAGACCTGATCCTCCTCTTCTGGGGTCGTCTGCTGGCACTCCAGGCTCCTCCTCTTCAGCAAGTGCCCCCATAAAGCTGCTTCCTATGGGGGCACCGGGGCAGGCTCGCTGTCTGCATCCATTGACACAGACAGTGGGACTTGGCCCCGCCCCCCACTTCCTCATCATAGGATTTGATTGACAGCAGCGGAAGCCAATGGTTCCCGCTGCTATCAATCTGGCTAGTGAGGAGGAAGCAAGAGGGGAGACACTGCCCTCATGCACAGTGTTGGATAAGGATCAGGCTCAGGTAAGTATAAGGGGGGTGAGGGGGGGATTTTGTTGTATATAAGTTTTTTTACCTTAGTATAAACTAACAAACTTGAATGTACATAATGACGCGGGTGACGATCCTGTACCTATCGACCTGTGGTCATTTTACATTACTCAGATGCAGGGGCGGACTGACCATTTGGAAACTCAGGCACTGCCCGAGGGCCTGGGGTCAGTAGGGGGCCCCATGAGATGCCCCTGGTACCTTTTTCATAGGCTTTTTTGAGTTTGGGCAAGGATAAAGGGGCCCCATGATCCCCTATTGCCCGGGGGCCCCATGAGTTGTCAGTCCACCCCTGCTCAGATGTTAATCTGTCTCATTTGATTTGTATTGTATGTGCATGCCCAAGTCATCCCTCTTAATGGAAAACTATTATTAAAGATCCTGTTCCTGTCACAAGAATAATATTTTAGGATGAGTATAATCTGCTAGGCCTGCTGAACACATGGTAGAGGCAAGGTGTACAAGCACACTCTCTTAAAAGGGAAGTTTTATCACAAAGAAAACATTGTCTATTTACATGTTCTGGATGCTGGAATTCACTAGCGAGTTATCTAAATAAGAATATACTTTCAAACCCGTGAGTACACAACGAAGCCATTGTGCAGCATGACAGTGGTATCATGCTGGCAGTGGTTATGTCACAGGTTATGGAGGCTTCACGTGCTAAATTTACTCTCTGCAGATGTTATTAGAAAGAGGCTTATTACATAAGAATAATATAAAGGTATAGCAATTAGTTAGCATTCATTTTTACTGTTCTGGTTGCCCTACACTGATAAAAGGAGAAATTTAATTGGTTGGTTGGTATAGATTACTACACTTTAAAGTGGTTGTAAACCTTATTTTTTTTCCTTAAAAATGATAAACATATCATAATTATTTGCTCTGTGGAATGGCTTTGCACAGAGCAGCCCCGATCCTTCTCTTCTAGGGTCGCCTGCTGGCACTCCAGGCTCCTCCTCTTCAGCAAGTGCCCACATAAAGCTGCTTCCTATGGGGGCTCCGGTGCAGGCTCACTGTCTACATCCATTGACACAGACAGTGGGACTTGGCCCTGCTCCCCACTCTTTCATCATAGGATTTGGTTGACAGCAGCAGAAGCCAATGGTTCCCGCTGCTATCAATCTGGCTAGTAAGGAGTTAGCAATAGGAGAGACGCTGCCCTCATGCACAGTGTTGGACCAGGATCAGGCTCAGGTAAGTAAAAGGGGGGTGAGGGGGGGATTTTGTTTAATATAAGTTTTTTTTACCTTAATATAAAGAATGCATTAAGGTAAATTTCTATAACTACTTTAAAACAGCTATTGTCAACTAGGGTTCCTCCAGATTTTGCTAGGAGGCCCTTGAGCTGTAGCAGATTCACCTCCTATTTGATGGTGCCTAGATACTTTCAAGGCCAATGCCACTTGAAAGAGCCAGTAGCATGACTCTTTTTATTTGTCTGTACAGATGGCTTCCTGCCTATTACTGTAAGAGGGTCATATTTCCCAATGCCCATCAAAGTTAGGAGCATTGTTGCCACTGCCTGGTAATAAATTGGGTTTTAAAGAGATTCCACTAGACTTAAAAATTGTTTTCAAGGGTTCCTTGAGAGTAAAAGGGTTGGGAAGGACCACTTTAAAGTGGCACTAAATTCTGGTTTAAAAAAAAAAAAATCTACTCAAGTATGGATTCTTATATAAAAACATTATCATTAACATGATCATTGTAGGCTCTTCGGTCAGTGTAATATGGTTTGTCCCAATGCATGCAAAGGTGGGGTCTAATATAAATAAAAGCATGTGATATAAAAATGGAATTCATATGCTGAATGCTATCATTACAGATATTAACTCAATACAGTTACCAGAATACTCACACAAAAAAAACTTGTAAAAACTTGTATGCGTAATCACAATAAAACCCAGTACCCCAATTAAAATGTC